CGTGTCCTGGGCGTGCTGGCTCATGTCGCCAGCCTGAAAAGCTTGCTCAGCCCTTTCGTGGAGGGGAAATGGAGCTCTGGCCCCTGCCAGCAATGGGAACAAGCTCGCTAGAAAATGGGCCGATGTAGAAGAGAGTCCCGCTTCAGCAAGCGTTTCCGAGGCTCTTCATCTTGGTGTAGCTCGGGTGCAAGGTGCGTGGTTCGGGAGCCCGTAGAGAGGCTGTGTGTACCCCCATCCCTCCGGGGATGGGCTGCGGTGTGTGCTTTGGGGCATCCAGCTCCGGAGAGGCAGCGGGGGTCGGGGGGTGTGGGCGGCTGTAGCTGGTGGTGGTGGCTGTTACCATCCCTAAAAACAGAGGCTGGGCTGCAGATGGCCAGGGAGGTCTGCGTGTCCTACTGTGCTGCAGTAGTGCAATGGAGAAGGGACAGAAGTTGGTGGCACTGAGCTGGTGTTGAGCCTGTGGCAAATCAGAGACCACCAGGTCTCAGGCTGTGCTGGGAGCATCCTCATCCTCTCCCCAAAACCTTCCCACGGGGCAGCAAATTAAAAAAGAATGAGGGAGAAGCAGTCCTGTAAAATTTGGAGGAGGGCTGTGAGCCCAGAAGGTCTGGAGGGCTGATCCTGGAGCTGCTGGTCACTTCTGCGAGGCCACCAACTCCTGAAGTCCCTGTGGGTCTTGCCGTGGAGGTGACAGGGGATGTCAGGAGGGCTAAGCCTGGCACTTTGCTTCCAGCTGGGTGGGAGAAGCTTTTCTTTGGGTCCTCTGTGAAGTCACTCAGCGATTTTTTGGTTAAAAATGATTTGAGGTCCCCAGCAAGGGTGGCTTGACTTCACCCTGGTCCTTCCACGCATTGGTCCTTTGTCCGAGAGGATTGGTTGTGCAGCCCCCATCCCTCCGGTGACTGTGGGTGCTGCCTGGAATCAGCGCCTGCTCCCAAAATAGGCAGTGCCCGGGGCTGCTGTCCCCTCTGGGGCAGATGTTTGTGCCAAGACCAGCTGGGGACGGCGCTTGGCTCCTGTCTCCTGCAGACACTAAGGGGTGTCTGCCCCGGTATGGCCTGTCCCAGTGTCACTTGCTCAGGTGACAGCACAACTGGGTGCTTTAATGTCTGTCTGTCTGCTTTCTGTGTGACTTATCCTGCAGCAAAAAAAAAAAGAGTAAGCAGAGCACTAAGTCAGCCTGTTTCTGTGAGCAGAGCTTTGATTCATAGTGCTGGAGGAAGAATTTGTAGTAATTAAGAGGAAATCACCTTGAGTTTTTTCATTATAAAAGAAGCATGGGGGCATTTTAATGTACAGATGTTGGCACGTGGGACTCGCAGAGCTGCTGAAAGCTGCTTGTCTCCACAGGCAGTGTCACTACCAGCTGTGCACATGGCAAAACAGAGCATGGCACAATCCCTTGTACCCCAGTTGTGGTGGGATGGTGCTGGGGGAGCTAACGGGGCTTGGACCTCTCGTTCCATCCAGGATGTGTGACCGCAATGGTGGGCGACGGCTCCGGCAGTGGCTGATCGAGCAGATTGACAGCGAGCTGTACCCTGGGCTCATCTGGGAGAATGAGGAAAAAACCATGTTCCGCATCCCGTGGAAACACGCCGGGAAGCAGGACTACAACCAGGAGGTGGATGCCTCCATTTTCAAGGTAGGGACAGATGGTTAATACCTTTCCTCCATGGCTTCTGGGCTCGGTGATGCTGTTTTCTTCTTTGCTGACAGTCCCGCTGGTGGGAGGTGTCCATGCTGTCAGTGGATTTTGCATCTCTAACCCCTGCAGGAGATGCTTCACCCCACAGTTGGGCTCCCAGGCTCTTTTGGGGGTATTTGTTCCTCTTTGCCAAATGCTGGTGCCAGGTTTAGGTTTGTTTTCAGCATGTTTGAATCCCAGTCTGACATGAGAAGGAGCTTGATGGGTTCCTTTTGACCTGCTCTAAACTTCTTATCAGGCTGTTCTTGATAAAGGGCTGGATTTGCCAAAGAAAAAAAAAAAACACAAAGGACTTCGCAGGAGGGAAGGAAGTTTTGGATTTCACTGAAGGGGGGGGATTTCCAGTTTTGGGGAAAAACTGGAAAATTCCATCCCAAACCAAAAAAGGTCAGGCTCTTCCCCAGGAATTCCCTTCCTTCTACCCCTGCTTCCAAATATCTGTCCTGGTAAGAGTTCACTTTCAGGGCGGTGACAGCTGGTTAGCGGCTGGTTTGGGAGCACTGAGTTATGAGGATGGCATTGAATTCAGCCATCTGAAAATATATAAGTATCTGTGAAATATGTATATTTAAAAATATGTATCTTGCAGTCTCTATTATATATATTATTACAATCTCCCTTCAGTGGTAAAACGTATTCTCCCACCAAAAGCACAAATGAGGTTCTGATCTTAAAAAGAAACCAGCTTTTGCTTATTAGTCAGAATGAGGCTTACTTTAATATTTTTTTTTTCACTGAGGTGTTACTAGGTCATTAGGAACACCACTGCTTCAGCAGTGATTCCTTGCATCCCCAGCAGCTCCTGACCTGCCAGTGCAGAGACGAAGCCACACACTATGATCTTGACCTCTGCCTTTTTTTTTTTTTTTTTAAAACCTGGGTGCTGCAGCCCTTCCTGCACCTGGGTGCATCACTGGGGCAGGTGATGCTGCTCTGTACCCAGATACCCATCCCCATGTGCAGCAGCTGTGCACGTGGTCTGCAGTCTAGGAGCGAAACAGCAAATACACATGGGATGGTTGAGAGGGTGCAAGGGGCAGAGAGGCGGGGAGAGCAAAATGTTCTCTGCAGCCCCAGCTCCTTTGCCCTGGGGGTTGAGGAGATTTGCAGAGCTCACGTGGAGGATTTTTTTTTGTTGCTTTATTTTAGGCCTGGGCTGTCTTCAAAGGCAAGTTCAAAGAAGGTGACAAAGCGGAGCCGGCCACGTGGAAGACGCGACTGCGCTGCGCCTTGAACAAGAGCCCTGACTTTGAGGAGGTGACAGACAGGTCCCAGCTGGACATCTCCGAGCCCTACAAGGTCTACAGGATCGTGCCAGAGGAGGAACAGAAATGTGAGTGCCCCAATAAGGGACTGACCCCTGGGTGCAGGTCAGTCCTGCAAGTAACCACAGGCTTGTGCCACTGACCTACATCTGAGCAGGGCTTCATGGCCAGACGCTGCTCTTGTACCGTGATGCTTTGCAGAAGATGTCCCCCGTGTCACTGTGGTGGCAGGGAGGGGAGGAGGAAGGACAGGCTTGCTTTCCACTGCCCTGAAACAGCTGCTTAGGAAGTAGGGGATAACTGCAGCATTGCATGACCTTCCATCCCATAATGAAGTTGTAGGGGCCAATCCAAAATCCTTTCCCCACTTGGGGGGGTACATGAGCCCCAACCCCTTGTCCTCCCAACATCCGCCCTGGACGGATGGCAGGGAGCTGCAATAAATCCCTTCTCTTGCCAGCAGTGATTAGAGTAGCAGTAATTTAACAGAGAGCAGTTGCTGCTGCGATGTCCGGTGCGGCGCAGGTCGTGCTAAGTATATCTCTATTTGTGGTTAGGCATGTGTGCGCTTTTTCCTTTTTTCTTTTAAGTAAAAAAACTTGCAAAAAAAAAAACCAAAAACCCTTGCTGTCAGGAAATCTGCCTTTAGCATCTCGGTCTCCTCCAGCCGTGTTCACACGGGGGGCGCGCCGCTGCTATGCAAATGGCACTGCAGGTTCCCACCGGCAGCATGACTGTGCTCGGGGCGGCTGGCGGAAAAAGGAGAAGCAGCAGCAGCAGTCTCTGGGGTGCTCAGAAGAAAAACCAAACCTCTGCTCTAGTTCTGTCTCTGCTACCGGCCGGATTTTTGATTTGCCTTGTTGCTGGTTACTGTCCACTGGGGCAATGGGTTGCAAACTGGTTTTTAGTCCTGAAAAGCAGCTCTGGGTGGAGCTGGAGGGGGCTGCAAGCCCCCCTGAGGTGCTGTTACATGACTCTGCTGTGCTGTGGTTCTCGGTTTCATAACTTTCACAGGGTGAAGGGTTTCTAAAACCCAGCGGCGAGATGAGCCACAGTAGGGGGGTGGGTGTGCTCACTGCATCCCGGCCTCTCCTTCCAGGCAAAGCAGTCATTGCCAACGGGAGCAGCCTGAATGACGTCACGGAGATGGACTGCAGTTCCTCTGCAATCGATGACCTCATTAAAGAGGTAAGCCCTCACTGTGGCTGCAGGTCGCCTTGCCTAGAGGTGGACAGATGGCAGACAGTTGCCTGATAAAGCGTTGCCTTCCTAAAATTCAATCTGCAAAGCTTTGGGAACCAGCCTGGCGAGCGAGGCTGGGTTTCGCAGCTCATTCATGTGTGCCAGCGCCAGGACACGTTGCTGATGAATGGCTCGCACTTTTGATTTGCATCCCGGCGGGCGAGACCTTCGTTGGGGCAGGGAGGCTGTTTCGCAGCTCTCTTCTCCTTCTTGACTGTGTCACCTTGAGCTGCTTCTGCTCAGTAGCTCTTGAGGGTGTTATTTGAGTGTGCGGGCTGGGGAATGCCAAACTTGCTTTTTCTAACCAAAAAAGTTCACTGGCATCCTGTTGGCACTGCCCTTTGGGCCCTCTCAGAGCACTGCGAGTGTCTCTGTGCAGGGCAGGCGCCGCCCAAGGCATCAAACCTGCCCTGACCTCGGTGTCTGCTCTCGCACAGCCCCCCTGTGTAGATGAATACCTGGGGATCATCAAGAGAAGCCCCTCGCCCCCCCAGGAGACCTGCAGAAACCCCCTGATACCCGACTGGTGGGTGCAGCAGCCCAGCCCCAGTAAGTAGCCGACGGTGTGTGCAGTGTTTAATGGGACCGAGCTTTTTGTTTGGGCAGAAAAAACTTACTGTACAGCAATGGATAATGGCCAACAGCTGTATCTTTATCTTCCTTATTAAGAATGCTTAAAGTACTAATTATGAACACTGTCGTTGGTAGCAGGCACCCAAGAGTGTGCATTGCACAAGATTAAATCCACCTGGGAGCATTTGCTGGCATCTCCTGTGTGGGAGCTGGGAAGCCTGATGTGCCTGGGAGAGAAAACTGGGGGGGCTGGTGGAGGGGAGAGGTGGGGATCAGGGTTTGGGAGCTGGGCATGCAGGCATAACTTGGCTTTTTCTGCCCACAGCGTTGCCCTTGATGAACGGATACTCTGGCTACGAGCAGCATCATTCGGGTAAGGAGCTCCCCTGCTCAGTTGTGGGCTGTGGCCATCAAAAGCCTCTCTGGGGCTCGGTCTCGCGTGTCCGCTGGCAGAAGGCAGCTCTGACTCTGCTCTCTGCCTTGTGGGAGGCTTCGCTCTGGTTTGGGAGGTCCTGTGCCCTCCTGAGTATCCACAGGGTTTGCACGCTGAGCAGGGACGCATTCTGCCTGTTGGCCATGACCACAGGACCTGGCACGGGGGGCTGCCCTGGGATGCTGGGACCAGCTGTGCCTTTAGTGTGGGGAGATCTGCCCACAGCGAGGGAAGTGTGGAGCAAAGGCAGGAGGAAGGGGCTCAGTACTGGGAGTTCTCACTCACTGGTCAGCGCCGCTACCGGGCTGAGTGCTGGAGATGCTCCTCTAGCAAGTAGGAGGTCTCCTCCAGCAAGTGAGACTTGCTCCCAGGAAATTTTGCTGCTCTTGTGGAGTTTGGGCATTGCAGTGAAGAGCAGGCAGGATTTGTCTTCTCTTGATGGGTGGTGTATGTGGGAGGACAAGAGGAAATGGGCTCAAGCTGTGCCAGGGGAGGTTTAGGTTGGATATTAGGAAAAATTTCTTCATAGAAAGGGTAGTCAAGCATTGGAACAGGCTGCCCAGAGAGGTGGTGGAGTCGCCATCCTTGGAAGCGTTCAAAAAAACGGGTGGAGGTGGCACTTTGGGACATGGTTGAATCTAGTCTACCCTTAATTGGTTTAGTGTGGACTTGGTAATGTTAGGTTAATGGTTGGACTGGATGATCTTAAAGGTCTTTTCCAACCTAAACGATTTCATGATTCTATTCTATGATTCTGTCCCCTCCCAGGTTACTCCCAGATGGTGATCAGCTTCTTCTACGGTGGGAGGCTGGTGGGCCACATCACCACCACGTGCACTGAGGGCTGCCGGATCTCGCTCAGCCAGCCCTCCAGCCACGGTGAGAAGCTGTATGCCCCAGATGCCCTGGAGCATGTGCAGTTCCCCTCAGCCGATGCCATCCAGAATGACCGCCAGAAGCAGATCACCAGGAAGCTCTTTGGGCACCTGGAGAGGGGTGTCCTGCTGCACAGCAACAAGCAGGGCATCTTCATCAAGAGGCTGTGCCAGGGCAGGGTCTTTTGGAGCGGGAACACCATGGTTTACAAGGACAGGCCCAACAAACTGGACCGGGATGAGGTGGTGAAGATATTTGACACCAACTTGTTCTTCAGAGGTTTGTAGCAGTATTTCCCTCTCTCTTCATCCATTTGGTGGGGTTGAAAGGGTGGAGCCCTTGGCCTTGGAGCACTTTGGAGTCATCATTCTCCATCCCTGATGGGTTACCCAAGTGCTCTGGATGAGTAGCTAATGCTACCAGATCTAGGAGGGAACAATTTGGGGTCTTGTGTCACTAGCAAACTCCTCCTGGTTGGAGACTTTGGACAGCAAAGCTGGCTTCTCTTGAGCCCACAGCTTTCTTCTGGGGCAGGGTGCTTGGTCCTGAAGCTGTGTAGCAAAGGCTGGCAGCTTCCAACTGTTCTCCTCTCCTTGCAGAGCTGCAGCAGTTTTACAACAACCAGGGCCGCTTCCCAGACAGCAGAATCACGCTGTGTTTCGGAGAGGAGTTCCCGGATGCCGTGCCCCTGCGGTGTAAGCTTATCCTTGTCCAGGTACGGAGGGCTGCCCTTTGGAGCAATGCTGCTGCATTTCCCCCCTTGTCTGGACCATCTTGCCCTCTTTTTCCTTCCACAAGCAGGGATCTAGCTTCAACCCCTGGAGCTACAGACCATTGGGGTGCCTGAATCGGTTGGGTGGCAGGTGTGGCATGAGTGTCAGCTTATCCACAACCTCCCGAGAGGTGCTTGGGCTGTTGCTTGGCAGAGACTCCTTGATCTGGGTAGATCATGTTTGCAAACAAAGCTCCCAAATGGCAAAATCTTTCCTAAACTGCTAGGAAATCTGTTCTCTTCCTCCTGTTCCCTGCCTCTTGGCACTGGGACTTCTGCCCTCTCCTGTGGGGCATGAGGGAATAAATCCCTGGAATGGTTGAGTTAAGGGACAGCCTCAAGCCGAGCAGCCAACAGATGTGGTGAACAACTGCAGTGGACAGCAGCAGGGCTGGGAAACTCTTGGGAGGGCAAAGGAGGGGTTGGGATGAGAGGGACAGTACCTGTGGCTCTGGCCAGAAGCTTTTCCCTGGAGAAGCTGAAGCAATTCTGGGATCTCAAAGCCCTGGGGCAATGCATAGGGTGTTTCTGGAGCCTGCACCCAGTGTGGGACCCCCTTGAGCCAACAAGGCTGTGGCAGCAGGGACATGGCATGGAGGGTACAGGGAGGGTGTTGCATCCACCCTTGAGCAAGCAGAGACACACACACACCCCCCCAAGTCTGTGAGGTCCTGGAGGGGATTTTATAAGTTGAGACTGGTCCTATGCCTCCCTGCACAACTTTATGACCTGGCCACCTCTTCTTGTCTTGGTTGTCTGCACCAGAGGATCACTCTGCAGGTGCTGGGACATCTCCCAGCCTGTCCTCAGCTCTATAGCTCTGCTGGAAGAGGAGCTCTTGTGACTGCTTCTTTTCTCCTAGAGGTGCTTTGCCAAGGTGGCTTGTGGAGTTGGACCTGTTGGCCTGGCTGGCCCTGGCCACCTGGGTCTGTTGGGCACAACTGCTCTGCAGTGTCTCTCCCACCCCATACCCTGCTGCCTGGGCTGGTGGGGCTGGATGGCAGCAGTGGGAGCTGCCCAAAGAGGTTCCTCTTCTTTCAGTGTCTTCATGACTCTTCTTCTTGCATAGGTGGAGCAGCTGTGTGTCAGGCAGTTGGTGGAGGAGGCTGGGAAGACCTGCAGCAGCACCATGCTCCCCATAGCTGATGAGACACAGCACGACCAGGTGTACAGGATCTTCCAGGACATCTGTGCGACGCATCAGCGGCCGCTCTTCAGAGAAAACCAACAGATTGCTGTTTGAGCCTCCTCCGCAGACATAGCGTGGTGGTTTGGGTTGATCTGGACCCAGTTTGGTCCCGTTAGTGCTTCAATTCCCACTTTGGAAAGTTGTTTTTTTGTTCTTTGCTGTTTCCAGTCCAGAGTCTGTATAAATACAGCAGTAAAAATTGCCAGGAGAAAGTAGGTTGGATGCTCAGTGCCTGTCCTGCAGACACTTTACTGATTAAAAATGACTTTTGTACCAAGCAGGGTAGTCCCGGTACCATTGTCTGTAGCTCATGGCAGGGGGAGGAGGGAGCATCTGAGCTGTGAGGGAAGGTCACGGCTGGGAGTGCTTTGTGTTGCCTTTGTTAATGGCCAGTCAAGCAGAATCAAAAATCAACAGATGTAACAACCTGCCCCAGTGGTCTGCAGCTCAGACCTTCCAGAAAGGTCTGAGAAAGCAATTCCAGAACGCAATTCTTTCCAGAAATCAGTGGGGCTCCCCCCCCGCCCCCTCCCAAGTCCTGCTGATGAAGGCTAGGGTATGCCTTCCAAGGAGAACCTTCTCAAATTCCTCTTTATTTTTGCTATAAGGTTTATATGTCTACCAAAGTATTTTGGAACTTGGACTACAATGCAGAGATTATGTATGTAAATGTTGAATATAAGAATTTAGGAATCTTAATTTTTCCTAACTAGAGACAGAGTTTATATAAATATATAATATCTTTAATTTTAAAGATTGCAGCATAGTGTGAATAGGTTAGCTTCACCCTCCCAAATGTATCTGGTCTCTCCCAAGCGTGACCAGGCAGCGGCATCCATGTGTAAATCCTCATTAACGCGCTTTGTGTGTGCAGGCAGCACCGGGGAGCTGCTTGGGCATGGGGCTTGTGCCTTGCAGCTGACACAAACCAGGACCACACATGTGTGCGTGCTACTAAGCTGCCTATTTATTTTATGCCTGAGGTTTATTACATTTTTTTGTATTTTTTTTCTATCTTAATGCAATTAAAGTGCTATATTTTTTATTTCTCTTGCAATGTGGTTTTTGGTTGCAGTGAGTTGGGGTGTCGTATCTCTGGTGGGGAGAGCCTGGGATCTGGGTCTCGCTCCTGCGGTGGGGTGTTGTGTTAAGCCTTCTCCTGTCACTTCCCTCCTGCTCTGTAACTGCCTGGTTTCACCTTGGGTGGGAGAGGAATGAGCCAAAATGCTGTAATGCGATGGAGGGAGGAAAAGGGTATTGCTCCTAGGGCCTTCATTCCGGGGAGCATGATGATCTTGGAGATCCTTTCCAACCTTAGTGATTCCTAGTTTTACTCTCATTAAAAAATACTCCAGCCACCAAGCCAGGAACAATGAAATTGCTACTCTACCCTTAACTGGTTTAGTGGTGGACTTGGTAGTGTTGGGTTAATGGTTGGACTGGATGATCTTAAAGGGCTTTTCCAACCTCAACAATTCTATGATAGGTCCCTGCCCATCTGCCACTGCACTGACCTGGGTGCCCTTAGCTCTCTGACCTGGGCTGTGATGCTCAAAGGTCATGGGATGAGGGCAGTTACTTAGGGTCCTGCTCAAAGGCGTGCTCTTGTCCTTCCCCTGTTATTGCCTGGTGGAGTCTTTTCCTACTGTCTTCTCCATCTGCCTTTCTCATGGGGTCTGGTCTAGTGAAGGTGGGTGGTGTCTGGGGAGAACCAAGGGGAAAAGGGAGCATCTGCCTTGCTCAAACAAAGTCCATATTGCAGCATTTACACCCTCACCCGCCTTCACTTCAAGCCTGTGTTTGGGGCAGCACCTCAAGAGGGTCGGGAAGTGTGTGAAGCCCATGTTTGATGTGTCACCTTGTGATCTGTGTCCTGTGAAGGACAAACTGGTGTTTGTCCACCAGCTTCTTCCCTGTAGCAGGCTCTGCCATGTGCTCGGGGTCAGCCCTGCCAAGGGATGCAGGCAGGGAAGCACCAGTCTTCATGGGGTGACCCTGGTACCCAAAGTGCTGAGGGATGTAGGCACTTGTGAAGGGGATGCTTGGAGATTGTGGCAGCTGGAGGCTGAGTCTGCTTAGGAGATGCTGAGGAGATGGTTGCAAAGTTGTCCTCCCTGCTTGGCTATCAGAGCAGATCAATCCTTGTTTTGCTGCTCTCCCTTTTTCAACTAATGATAGCGACCTTCCCAAGCATGAGTGTGTGGTCAGGGCACAGTTAAGATGTGAGGACACTGACCTGGGCTAAGTTGACCACAGCTCACCTCTGCCAGGAGGTTGTTCTGCCTGCAGGATTGCTAGCTATTTTGGGGCGAGCAACTCAGCCTTCCCAGTGAAGCCTCCCTAAAAATAATTAAGCGTTCAGCTCCCATGGGACTTGAAGCTGACCCCTGCCCCTGCATCCCTCCAGCGTAAGCAGTTACAGCCTCTGTCCCAAAAAGCAGTGGGTGCACAGCAGACAACACATAACTTACAGCACCCAAAAAGTGCTCCGAGATGGGAGACCCAGCTGAAACTTTGTGGTTATACATTAGGATTAAGGGAGGCCCTGCATCCCAAGCTATTTATGCTGTGAGCATCCCCACTCTATGGCTGAGTCGTTCTCCATGCCCTAACCGTGTTGGTGGGATGCTCATAGTCCTGCCTGCGCCCTTGTGCACATCCCTTGCAGGCATTGCAGCACGTAGCTTTGGTGCTTGTAAGCAGAGATGGCTGCAGACCAAGATTTTGGATGCACCGGGTTCCTAAGTGCAAGGAAGTCCCCAACTCCTGTAAGCTCTTATGGGATGCTCGGTCATGGAGGTGAGGATTGCACCTTGTAGGTGCACCATCAGCATTCATCCCCAGCCTTTGCCTGCTCCTCCTGAGGGCCATTGCGGTGTCCCCCGCAGGGTTTAATCCTGTCCTTTGTGGGCCCTCAGAGCGTGAGGAAGACTCACCTCCCCGTGGGTGAGGTGCCTGGTGGGGGGAGGTGGTGGGGAGGAGGTGGGAGCAAGACACCCGCTGCGGTCTGCGCTGGAACAACACGTGCCCACTTGTGAAACACATGATGGGCTGCAGGCTGGGACGCCATAAACACTGCTTGCGGTTTCCCCAGATGTCCTGGTGCAAGTCCTTCCTCAGAAACCACCATCTTGTGCTTGCCTGGAGCCACCTGCTACGTATTCAGGGCTCTTTCAATTTCCACCCCAAGACCGCGGAAGAGCAGTGGGGAGCAGAGGTACCTTTTGTTGGACCCGGCTGCACTGTTTATTTTTAGTGTTACCGTTGTACCTCAGAGCCCAGAGCTTGGTTTGGGACCATGCTGCGCCTCGCTCCATAAAACCAGCAGCACGGCTCCTGTCCTGAACAGCTTCCAAGTCATGTTCCAGAGGGGACAACTGGTGGGTGTGGAGGGACTGGGAAGGAAACTGTGGGAGAGGGTCTTATGGCAGAGGTGGGACGCAAGAAGGATAATGCGGTGGGGTGCGTGACTGCGGGCAGGTGTCCCCTTTTTGCTCAGGGCTCAGGTAGGACTTGCAGTTGGGTTTGTGCCTAATGCCTGGCCCAAGCTGGACCTCCCCAGCTCTGTCCCACCCCCAAAATCCAACATGAGAGAAGCCTCCCAGGCTGATGCTCACTCACAGAAAAAAGACCAGATGTTCCAGTAGACGGCAGCAGGTTTCAAGGTAACTACTAATTGCACTAAGGTATGCTCTGGCCCAGACTCACGGTGGCCTTTGTAAAAGCCAGGAGGAATTTCTGCACATCTCATATTTTTCCTGCAAACCTCTTGGTCAGGTAGGCAGGGCACTGCCATCCCCACTGTCCTGGCTGGGGACCAGGTGCTGGTGGTGTCCAGGAGCACCCTGACCTGGAGGCAATGCCTGCGTCTCGTCCCCCTGTCCCTGCACCTTGCCTGGCCCCCGACAGCTCCGGTGAGCTGCTCGGTGCAGCTGCGCCGAATCTTAGTGGTTTTGGGCGACCGGGGACTCAAATACTTTCGTTGGTTTCTGTTCACTTGGGTTTTTCTCTATGGTGTCACTGAAGTGAAACCTCAGCGCCTGGTGTTGGCTCTTCTTTGTCAATGGCTCATCTGTTGGCAAGTCCCAACAGTGGCCCACGTCTTCAGCTGAGGGTCCCGTCCCCAAATCCTGGGGATGCAGTACCTACCCACTGCATATAGCATCTGTGGCACAGGCTGCGTTCACTCCAATGAATGATCCTCACTGGTGTAGCAGGACTGTGGGTAGCATGACTGAGAAGCTCAAAGCCTGTCCTCCCCAAGATACTTGCTGCTTGTCCAAATGGGGTTTCCTACACCTCGAGTATGTGTTTGAGTTGGAGCATTAATTCCATCAAACTCCCACCTGATGTGGAAATATTTCCTTGCTTCCTGGGAAGGCCAACCCTGGTACCAGGTCCTGCTGCTCCTCCAGAGAGGGCTGCAATCCCTGTGGACATGGGAAGGTGCTTTCTGGGAGATGCTCATGCTAAACTCCTGCCTTCAAGAGTGGAAGGACAGAGCAAGTGTTTCACATGAGAAGGGGAGAGTAGCTTGGTTTCCATGGAGGAAGACTGACCTTTCCTTGCAGGAGATAGATGGTTCTCCTCAGGCGTGTTTGGGAAGCAGCAGCATGCTTACCCAATCCTCGTATCGACCAGGGCAGACAATGTGGGTGAATTTTCTATCGACCCCTTCTCTGAGGTCTTCCAGCATAAAGACATCTACTCCATGGTGTACACTGGAGAACTTTGATTTCTGGGTGCTGCAAAGGACTTGATAAACACAGCAGCCCCACTTGATGTTTTGCTAATGGACATGGGGTGTTATTTGGGTTCAAAGCCAACCTTACTCTTGAGATTTGTCATGGCTGGAAGGCAGGTGTGCCACTGGGAAGCATTTTCCTTGGGAGAAAATGAGCCTGGTTATATCTTGCAGTGTTATCAGTCTTGTTCCGTAATGTGCTTTGGTAGTTCCCCATGACGTGCCCTTCAACAAATGCAAAAAGGACCACTGCATGTGGCGTCGGGAGCAGAATTCAGTGTCTGTGAGGACAACCAGCTTCTACCCATCC